TATGTTTGCTCATATGAATATTAAATGTTTTTGTGAAGTTAAAGTTGATTAATGTTTGGTTTAGTCTAAAAGATACTGAATTTTAAGAGTAGAAAATGTTAAGTGAGAAAAGTTTATTGGTAGTTTTGTAGCGTTATGCTTGGTGGCGTTGTCCTCTCTATATGGGGGAGGTGCTTGTGAGTGCAGTAATGTTGGGAGTGGGTGATGTGCCACCAAGCTCTTTGTCTGGAGCATTTGAAATATTCAAACGTAGTGCCACAATGCTAGGTTAAAAATGATATTTTATATAAATATCTAAAAGTATTTTCACTTCACCCATTTCACCCCCATTCATTAGAAAATAGATAGAGAGGTTGGAAGAAGAGAGAGAGAGAGAGAGAGAGAGAGAGAGAGAGAGAGAGAAGAGAAACAATGGATTTAAAGGCCATGAAGCAAGATTCGTGTGTTGGGATCATATCAAGGTAGGATCCCAAGTCCATATTTTTTATTTTAATTTCAACGTTTGTACATAGAATTTTGGTTTTTATGTGATTTTCTTCAATTTGAGTATCTTTCTATAGAGTAACTTTTAATATATTATATAAATGAATGGTTAGAAGCATTTTGATTGATAAGTTTCACATTTTGCTAGTTGATTTTCATTATGTGAATTTTCATGCTTTTTTTCATATGTGATGATTTTGTTAGAAAGTACTCAAGAATAAAAATGTCTCAAAATGATGTCATAAAATTTTCCTGTGAAGGCTTTTATGAAATTTTACTATTGGATGTGTGATGTAGAACGGGAGGGGAGTAATTAAAAAAAAATTAAAGATATAAAATTCCAACTCATATTTCCCTTAATTAATGGATTTGAATTTGAAATTCAAATACGAAAAAGAGGGAGGGAAGAGAGGAATTAATTATCTCCTTAATTGGGGCATTTGATTAGGAAGGAAATAATTACGATAGAGGGGAGAGAGAGGGTTAGCCAAGGAGGAGGGAGGAAAGATGTCTATATTCGATGTATGTGTCCACATACATTGAATAGGGGGGATTAAATTCAAATCCAATCATTTAATTCAGATTTGCACAAATTGGGGGAAATTTTCTAAAATAGGTGTAAGATATTTAGGAAAGACTTTAAAATTCAAATTCATTTGAATTTGAATTATGAAATCCTTCCAAATAAGATAGGGGCTAAATTAAGAAGATGATAATGTGATAATTGAATGATTCTTTAATTATAATCTTAAATTAGAAAAGGGATGAAAGACCTTTCAAAATTCAAAATTCAAAATTAAGAGATGGGAGAGAATTATGTAATTAATTCAAATTAATGAGGAAATTCAAATCTCAAATTAATTTGAAATTCCCAAATTGTTTCAAATTAGGAAAGTAGTAAAAGGATGATTGGGAATTGGAGCCTTGGAGAATTGGTGGGGTGGCTGGTGGCTAGGCTAGGTTGCATGGCCAGCTGGTAGGGAAAGAGGAAAAGGATTGAGCCCATGGTTAGGTGTGGGAATGGAACTTGGTCGGTGGTGGGGAATGGGTTTGGTTGGTCGACGATTTGAGGGAGGAGGAGGTGGTGGTTTAGGAAAAATAAGGAGAATTAAAAGAAGAAGAAGAAGAAGAAGATAAAACCGCGAGCCCGTATACATCCTACAACTAACAGATACCACGTTGCCCTTCACTAAGGGACTTCAGGCCACGAGCCCGAACACATCCTGTGGCTAGTGCAAGCTATGAATTACTCCCATAGAAATCTCACCCAAGGTTCTTCCCAAAGAACACAAGTGCAAACACAAAATTTTATTAATCATCCAACATTACATTACATAAGCAAGTGCCTCTATATATAGGCCTAAGAAACTAAAATAAGACGCATATGCCCTTAGGGCTTACATAAAATGACCCTCTTAAGTAAGGGTAAAAACAAAAAAATTATAATAAAAATAAAAATTACAAATAACATATTAAAATAAGGTGGAATGATCTCGACCGTCGATCGTCGTCTCCTTCTTTGAAAATCTTCATGATGGGATGTCTACATCATTCTCCCGGGGTGGAAAAGAGCTCGACTCCGTCGAGTCCGCACCCCAGGTAACCATGCTCTGATACCAAACTGATGTAGAATAGGAGGGGAGTAATTAAAAAACAATTAAAAAGATAAAATTTCATCTCATATTTCTCTTAATTAATGGATTTGAATTTGAAATTCAAATACGAAAAAGAGGGAGGGAATAGAAGAATTAATTATCTCCATAATTGGGGCCTTTAATTAGGAAGAAAATAATTACGATAGAGGGGAGAGAGATGCCCGACCAAGGAGGAGGGAGGAAAGATGTCCATATTCAATGTATGTGTCCACATATATTGAATAGGGGGAATTAAATTCAAATCCAATCATTTAATTCAGATTTGCACTAATTGGGGGAAATTTCTTAAAATAGGTGTAAGATATTTATGAAAGACTTTAAAATTCAAATTCATTTGAATTTGAATTATGAAATCTTTCCAAATAAGATAGGGGCTAAATTAGGAAGATAATAATGGGGTAATTGAATGATTCTTTAATTAGAATCTTAAATTAGGAAAGGGATGAAAGACCTTTCAAAATTTTAAATTCAAAATTAAGAGATGAGAGAGAATTGTATAATTAATTCAAATTAATGAGGGAAATTCAAATCTCAAATTAATTTAAAATTCAAATTTGAAGTTCCCAAATTGTTTCAAATTAGGAAAGTAATAAAAGAATGATTGAGAATTGAAGCCTTGGAGAATTAGTGGGGTGGCTGATGGCTAGGCTAGGGTGTATGGCCAGCGGGTAGGGAAAGAGGAAGGGGATTGAGCCCGAGGTTAGGTGTGGGAATGGAACTTGGTCAGCGGTGGGGAATGGGTAAGGTTGGCCAGCAGTTTGAGGAGAGGAGGAGGTGGCGGTTTAGGAAAAATAAGGAGAATAATAAAAAAAGAAGAAGATAAAACTGCGAGCCCGGACACATCATGCAGCTGACAGGTATTATGTTGTCCTTCACCAAGTGACTTCAGGCCACGAGCCCAGACACATCCTACGGCTTGTGGAAGCTACGAATTCTTCCCATAGGAATCTCACCCATGGTTCTTCCCCAAGAACACAAGTGCAAACACAAAATTTTATTAATCATCCAACTTACATTACACAAGCAAGGGCCTCTATATATAGGCCCAATAAACTAAAACAAGACATGTATGCCCCTAGGGCTTACATGGGACAACCTTCTTAAGTAAGGGTAAAAATAAAAAATTCATAATAAAAATAAAAATTACAAATAACAAATTAAGATAAGGTGGAATGATCTCAGCTGTCGATCATCGTCTCCTCCTTTGAAAATCTTCATGATCGGATGTCTGCATCAATGTGTGTATATGTTTTACCTCACATACACAACTGAAATTGTCGTACATTGTGTCACTTTTGTGCAATTATTATTATTTTTTTGTTAAAAGTTAAGTTTCCTTATTAAATGTCTTCATGTTATCTTGTTCAAATGATGCATTACATGTTTATATGATGGATTTAATGAATGTCGTAGATGTTCAAGTGCACTACAAGTTAAGCTACAAGGGCCCTTACATGTAGATGTTCATGTTCCCTCCATTTATTTTGTACATATGTCTGATAACTAAGTGGAGTTATGAATAAAAGTGGAGTTATAAGAAGAATCCGACATATCTCTATCTATCTTGTATATGTGTAACACTTAGTGGAGGCATAAGTAGAAGTTGAGTAATAACTAGACATCAGGACATGTGCATGTGCATGCCATATGTCATTGGTTGCATTGTAAGTTCATCAAGTAATTCATATTGATACTCATGTTAGAAGTTAGGTTAACATTTAATTTGATATTTCTGGTGTTAACATTCAAGTTCAAGTAATGTTCAAGTTATGTTGAAGTTTATGTTTATGATGTAATTATTCAAATTTAAGAAAATCTTTAATTTAAAAAATGTTACATGATAATTTAGCTCATGCATATGTTCAAGTTCAAGTAATGTATATGATATCCTTATGATAAACTCAAACATATAAGTACAAATTAAATCTAAGGTTAATATTTTATACCCGTAAATGTTAAGTTGAGCTCATGTTTGATAATGTCTTCCTTATGCAAAAAATAAGTTGTTTTCATTTTAAGCCAAATAATGTTACCTATTGAATATTTTTTTGAAGTCAAATAAGTGAGAAAAAATGATCTACTCGCAAAAAAAAATCCAAAGATAATATCATGATTAATTTTTATTAGTTTATAGAAATAATAAAAAGATTTGTTTATTATATAGACTAATCAAAGTTTTTTTCTTTTTATAAATTAACCAAAGTTAAAAGTGTACACTCTAATTTAGATCATATATTTCTAAGAAATAATTTTTTTTTTGAAGTTCAAGAGAGAGCTTAGGGCATCTCCAACCGAAATTCTCATTTTTCACTACAAAATACAGTAAAATAAAAAAGTGTCGTGATTCATCTCCAGTGGAACCCCATTTTGCCCCCAAATTATCGCTCGTTTCTTTCGTGCTTTTCTCAAACGAGTTCGGTAGAGAGAAAGAAATGACGCAAGTGAATAGTGCGACGTCAACATTGGCGTTGCACTGTTCAACTGCGATCAAATAACGGAAGAAATGGCGTTCAGTTGCGACGTTTGAGGGTCTCCATTCGGCTGTTTGCCGGTTGGAGATGATCTTAGTGGGAAATGTTACAATATAAATAGAGGCCAAGAGGACGACCAAATAAATAACAAGACAAAAAAATTGCACGATTTTCTTTTTTAATATATTTTTTTGAAATGCAGTCATCCTTTATTTATTTTGGTAGGTTGCTTAACGAGCTCCATTTTTTCGTTAAGCAGCGAAATTGCCCCCAAAACTTCAAACCGCCCTTCCCCTCAGCAAACAAACTCTCTACTTAAGTGAAATATACGCAAAAGCTGTCGCCTTTAACTAGCAAAATAGATCCGTGGCCGAAGAAAGCGAGAGGAGAAGCGACAGAAAAGTGGAAGATTTCGTAGGGGAGAAACAGCGAGAATATCTGCTTCGTGATATCTGTGCTTTTACTCGCTTGTGGGGAAGGGTGAAGACGGTGAGTCGTTGGCCAAATGAGGCGGTTCTGTTGCTTCTTGTCTTCTCGAGCCGGTTCCTTTTTCTCCTCTTCCTCTTTCTTCAACACTTTCTCTCTCCTCCCCTCGCTGTTGGCTTTAACTCCTCTCGCTTTCTCGAGCAGAGAGCGCTCTCCTCTCTCCTCCACCAAACAGTCCAAAATCCTTTTCTTTCTTCTCTGCAACACCTGCCACTATAAATAGGTTCCTCCCTGATTATTTTTTCTCCAAGCTCTCTGTTTTCTTCCTTCTCAGTAGCTCATAGCCAAAGAAGAGGAGCTTCTTCTTGTTCCCTTGTATGCTCGTGGCAATGTCAGCTTGGAAGGACAGGGAAAATGATCCTCGTATTGAAGGGATTGCTTCCTCAATGCGCGTCATTTCCGACTTCCCTAAGCCAGGTCTAAGCTTTCTTAACCTCTTCTTAGTTCTCTTTGGATTTTTCTCATATTCCAGAGCTTCCCCTTCCTTAATCCAGTTTTGGTACTTCATTTATCCTTTTTTTCTCTTTTGAAAAAAAAAATTGACTTTTCATTCCTGTAGTTTATACTCTCTGTGGCTTATACCCACCAGCTGATGGAATTGCTGTTTACTTTCAAAAAATATCAAGTTTTGATGTCTTACGGTGATCTAACTGGTTGTTCTGTGCATATTTTTTCATGGGATTCAGGGTTTAAGTTCAAAGACATTACCACGCTGCTCCTCAATCCTAAAGCATTCAAGAACACCGTGGATTTGTTCGTGGAGCGCTACACCGGCAAGGGCATTTCCGTTGTTGCAGGTGATATAGCACTGATCTTTTAACCTTCTTCATGTCCAATTCCTTCTTTGTTGTCAAAGTATCAGCTATGGGAGACTCCTATCTCCATAATTCTTGCTTGGATGAGAAAATTTTCATACTTTTAAGAATTTCTTAAATCTATCAATTTATTCATTTCATTATCTCTGCGTCTCCTGCTTCTCACCACTGTTTTCATTTCTTCATCTTGCTGTTTGATCATTTCCATTGTTTTGAGCCGCTTAAATGATATTCATAGTTGGTTATAATCCTATGAATTGCTTTTTTTGGAGCTAAATTCTTCTGCTTTCTGATTTTCTTTGGAAATTTTACTTGAGCTGATAGCTTTGTTATGCTTTGTATCTTGGCTTGGATGAATGGATATCAGAACTTCTGCATCCAGCAATATATGCTCATTATACTGATTTAAATTCTGACTAGTTTGAGTCTTATGGGCTGTAAGTTATTGATATTATACTTAGTAAATCTATGTAACAAACATATTATATATGAATTGAAGCTCCTCGATCCAAACATACAGACTTGATTCATTTTTCTTTAATAGTCGCTTCAGGTGAGTTTTCATTCTAATTTTTTGAACTTTTCTTTCAACTTAGATCATAATTCTGAATTTTGGGTAATTCTACTTAAAATTTACAGAGTTTTTGTAAGAATTACATAAAATTCTTTTTAATGTCTTCAACTTCTTCAAATCAATTCTATTCTAATAGATAAAACAAGACATGGAAACTAGGCATTAAGGTTTGTACCGTGTTAATAAGTGATATTTGTAACTAATTTATGTAATCTTACGAAACCAATTTAAACCTCAATTATGGTTGTTCATCTGGTCTGAACGCTTCAGTTTTTGAACTGTTTGGTTATTTTGATCTTCTAGTCTTCTCACTGAATTGATAAATTGGCCGTTTCATTTTCTCCAAGTTTGGAATTGTAATCTAAGTGAATGTGCTTGCCTTCAAAATTTGAAATCATCTCAATTCTATGGCAGGTTTTGAACCTGCTTTCTTTTTTCCAGTTTGGTTTCTGTCAAAGCATAAACCTTTATAGAATTTAGCTAATAAATCAAAATAGTTTTGATTTTGTTTCTAAAGTTTTTCTGTACTTTTTTGACTTTGCTTAGTTTTTGTAGGAAATGAGCGGAAAAGAAAGGAATTCAGTTTATCAAATAAATTAATTTTTTTTTATATTCTCTTTATGATTCTTTGCTTAACCCATAGAAAAGCTAAAGGGGCTGTTTGGCAATGGGATTTATGCCCAATTTGAGCAGGATTTAAGCTAAATCCTGCCAAACAAGATTTACGCCGCCATTTGAACTTACGGTGAAATAAATCTACCGTCTGCTCCTTTTTGCGGTAAATCCCGGATTTACTAAATCCTACCGTTTGACGGATTTAACATTTCACTGCGAGCGGGAGAGCGAAGCACCTGGCTTCTTCGAGCGTTAAGTTCTCTGCCGCACCTAAATCCTGATTATATTATCAAACAACTCCACAAGATTTAACATAATTTAACATTTATGTTGCCAAACAATTTTTAGGATTTAACTTTAACATGATTTACTAAATCCAAATTTATAAGTTATATGCCAAACAACTCCTAAGTAACATTGAAATACGAATTACAATAAGATTGTGCAGACTGTTGGATCGAGTGGGTATTCCTTTAAATCAAATAATATTGGAAATTACTTTTTTTATTCATTTTTCTTCAACCAAAAAAGTGTCAATACTAATTTCAATTCAACTTACTTACTCTATTTCCATTTGCTTATGATACTCATTTTTTATTGTTTAAACACATCAAATTTACTTTTTTAGGCATTGTTTGGGATGGCCTTTTTATTGCTTTTTAAAGTAGCTTTCTAGCACAAATATTAAAATTTTTGTATAAAAAGGTTGTTTTAAGAAACAATAATAAAGCCGTCCCAAACGAAGCCTTAGTCGCTTGATCATGCTGATTTTTAAAATCAGTAAATTAATTATGTCTTAGTTTAAAAACTCTTTCATAGTAGGTCCCCCCAGCATATAAAATCAAACTGATTTGTTGTTATGGACCACAACTAGGTCATGTCAAATCTGTTTTGTACTTCACATCCTGCAAACGTCATTTTCTTTCAATCTTTTGGATAAGTTCTAAATTTTATAACTTGTTAATATATGTAACATGCAATTGCACAAGTTATAGCTAGTAGAAAAAAAATCTAATAATTAGTACTTTTACACCTAACATTGAAATAACTATTGTATTCTGTTTGTTCTTTCTATTCCTACATTTCTTAAAATTTCACATTTTTTGTTCTTGTAAAGTTTTGTTTGAATGGTGATGATTTTTCAATTTTCTTATGGTTCAATTCATTCTTTTATATGAATTCTTAATTCTTGATACTCAATGATTTGTCGAGATATGTTCTCCTTTGGCAACACTCAACAAGAATGAATGGAAAATGAGTGATTCATAAAGCCAAACGCCAAATAGTTAGGATAAAGCTGATTATTTGATGCTTTTTTTTTTTTAACTTTTGCTAGTATGTATTAGAATGCTGATGATGATTCTCTATTCATTGCATAATGATCATGTAAGCTTTTCACGTAGGCTTCGTTTGGGACGGCTTTCCTACTGTTTCTTAAAGCAGGATTCTAGTACAAAACTTTTAATTTTTTTACTAAAAATTTGTTTTAAAAAGCACTAAGAAAGTCATTCCAAACCAAGCCATAGATTGAACTTTTTGTGTCCTGATTCTTGCAGGAGTTGAGGCTAGAGGTTTTATATTTGGCCCCCCTATTGCCTTGGCAATAGGTGCTAAGTTTGTTCCTTTACGAAAACCAAGGAAGCTGCCAGGTAATTTTATTCCCTTTGTGTTTTCTATGCTACTTTGCAGTGCCATTTTTAAGAAATTTTTTTATTATTTTTTAATTGTTTTTTTGCTGATTTTACAACGTTCACTCTTCCTGACCATTGCTTCACTCCTTCTGACAAATTATTGAGCTTTAAGTATTAATCTTTGAAGTGGGCAATATGGTTAAAGATTTGAAGGGTCTGGATTGTTCTTTATGTTATTATATTGAAGTAGCATGTCGCCTTGGCTTAAATAAAAGATACATTACTATTTGATATAGTTAGAACTTAGTATATAACTAACATGATTCAAAAATGTGGTTTGTGCAATCTAGACTTCATTTGGGACGACATTCTTATTGCTTCTTAAAATAATTTTTCAGTACAAATTTTTGTACTAAAAATCTGTTATAAGAAACAGGAAAAAAAAGAGTCCCAAATGAAGCCCTTGTCTACTTATTTTCACAAATTATCTGTTCGGAAGGATGTTCTGTTAGGAGGCATGGACCTAAGGAGGACAGTTTATTTTCGTTATGAAGGGTTGTTGTCAATAGGTTACATACCTGAAAGATCAGAGTTGCAAAACTCCACTATTATTATCTTAGTGAAATCTGTCGTGGCGAGAACAAGTAGTTATCAATTGGGTTAATATATATAAATTTTTTGGGTTTTCCTGATAATTTGAATTAGGTCTCACCTATTCCAACTCATTTTTCTCTAAGAACTTTGTACTTGCACCATTTTTTACTGAATTGCTATAGAAAATGCATCTGGCTTAGCTTGTTTAGTTAGAACTACACCAGTTGTATTTAGATTGTTTATGCAAGATTACTTCTTTCTAATCTCATGCTTAAGTGTCAATCATAATAGGCATGAAATTTATACATCTTCAAAAGTAATTAAATATTTCTTTTGATAAAAAAAATACAGGTACAGTTATATCAGAAAAATATGTTCTTGAATATGGAACTGATTGTCTTGAAATGCATATTGAGGCTGTCGAACCTGGTGAACGTTCATTAGTAGTTGATGATGTGGTTGCAACTGGTGGAACACTCTGTGCAGCCATAAAATTACTTGGTATGTGCTTAATAAATTATTTTTAGCTATGAAATGTGCTTAATAAATTATTTTTAGCTATAAAAAATGAAACTTGACATCCTCCTTGTGGTTTTGAAGTATGTATATTCAATATGATTGCTTTTGCTGTAATTTGCAGAAGGTTGAGAAATTCAAATGCATTGAACTTCTACTTTACAACTGTTTTACATTGCTAATCTTTTTTTCTATCATATACTTTATGAAATTTCTATATCAAGAACAAGGTAAAGAAAAGTAAAACATACTTACAGGCACAGAATGGCTATTCCTTTAATGTCTTTTGCCTTTGTCTATTTCTTTCCTAGTAATATAACTTTGTTTATGCAGTACTATATTAGATTCTTTGACAGCTACAAGATAATATCTTACTATATAATATTTATTTGTCACCAGACATTGCAGCATGGTTGCCAAAAGGTGCAATGTCTAGAACTGAAAAAAGACAATCTAGCATCATAATTATTACTGTGACGCAGTTGGGTGTAATTATCTTACATCTTTTATATATATATAGCCTTTTTTACATCCAGCTACCATTAGTTTCTTATTAAAATAAGTTTTTGGTCTTTGAATATTTGAATATTTTACTAAAAAAGCCGTCCCAAATGAAGCCTCGGTGAAAGATCCCTTGTAAGGAGAAATTATTATGTGCGGACACTGAACGCAGTTCACCATCCGGAGACCAATTAGAATGCTTCATGTCAGCAGTACCGAGCAGTACCAAGCGGGTTACCAAGGCGTGGTACAGAGAAGAGGTGACGTGACGCATTCTGATTGGTCTCTGGACGGCGTTCGACATCCACACAGAATAATTTGCCCCTTGCAAGTGCTTCATCTTTAGATTATACCGGTGAGATTAGGATCGTAAAGAACCGCACAATTGAGTGAACTTACATAAAATTATTAATGTGTTTTGTATTTATCACTGCACCTGTTTAGATCATTTATGATCCCAACATTTACATGACAGAGGTAAGCATAGTCACACTTAGGCTTCGTTTGAGACTGCTCTCTTACTGCTTCTTAAAACAGCTTTCTAGTACAAATATAAAAATACTGCAATTCTTTTTGTTGATTCAGAACGTGCTGGTGCAGAAGTTGTGGAATGCGCTTGTGTCATCGAAGTACCCCATCTTAAGGTACATTAATGCTTCATAATACTGAAGTCCTATATTTTCTTTACTGGAAAACATCTTCTTGGAAAGGAGTTTATTTACTTGTTTATTTACTTGTTTTGCAGGGCCGTGAAAAGCTGAATGGAAAGCCATTGTACGTGCTTGTGGAAACTGACTGATGCTGTTTATCTTCTCAAAATCTGCTACTGATAAATTAATATTTGAAGCTTGAAGGGTTAATTAATATCTAGCATAGATTTAGATGGAAGCTGGCCTCATTTTGCCAGAGAATCAAGTAATTTTTTTTTTTATTCTGACTGCTTTTCTGCCATATTTCAACTATGTTTTTTTTTTTTTGGGTAAATTGAGGGCTTAGCCAATTCTATTAAAAAGAAAATGATTACAAAATTGCTTGCCAATTACATGTGATCTTCATATAGGAAAAACTGGAAAAGAAACCCAAAAACAGACAGTAAAAACTGTCTGGCCGGGACTCAGAGAAAATTATAAATCATTGTGATCATTCTCCTTTGGTTGCCCGTAGACCATCCAAAAGGAGAGGCAGGTATCATCATCGTCCACGGCCCAAAAAACCTGCCAGTGAAGAAGGCACCCCTTGTCGGCAACGAAGCAGCAGCGTCTTGATGAAATTGGGCAGCAAACAGAGATGCCACCAACAATTATCATATAGAATTTAGGAACCTGTCATACACCATTCGAACCAGCACGGAATTGCCACAGAAAAAAAGCAAATCTGATAACATTGTCAGCTTTACCCAACTTAGACTGATAATATCTTAATCTCACTGACCAAAAAACCTTCCCAATAGTGATTAGAAACTTCCCCAGTATCATAAAAAGGCAAAGCCAACCATAAAAACCCGAATAGAAATAGCATAACCCAAGATCACCACAACCCAGCATTCCCCCAAGCCAGAAAATGAAGCCGAACCATAGTGACATTGAAGCCAACATGAATCTAGTTATAATAAATGAAAAGTTTCTCCCTGATAGCCTTTCCTCCTTTCCAGCTGTCCAGCTTAACATAAGCAATTCTAGTAATTTTTTTTGCTAAAGAGACCGCACAAGAAAAGGTCCCTTTATGAATTCTATCATTCCTCTCAGTCCAAGTAACGTAAACAACAATATTGAAAAGCAACAGAACAGCGGACTTCAAGTCCCTGTTCACATCCAACCCATCTATATACTGAAGAGCTTGGCCCATATTAGGTCTGAATAGAAAACAATTCATCTTGGCCCATATTTCAACTATGTTACTATGCAATGTAGTCTTTCAAAATTTTTTTGCTTTGCATTGTGGTGTTTTAAGATGCATTATGCTTGCAATATTCAGCTGAACAGAAATGAATGAGTTGGCTATGCAGATGATCGAGACAAATATATACTCATTTTAAATATTAATTGAATTATGCAGGGCATGAAAAATCAAGTTGAATGCCTTTAAAACTCAAATCTATTGTAAATACTGAAGAAACTATGGCTTCTTTTGGGACGGCTTTCGTACTGCTTGTTAAAGCAATTTTATAGTATAAAAAATTTAATTTTTATACTATAAAGATGCTTTAAGAAGCAGTAAGAAAGCTATCCCAAATGAAGTTTAAATGTCTGTTTGAAGCAATTTTTTTATTATTTTGTTTTTTAGATTGCAATTATATTTTATTTTTCCAGTTTATAATCATTTTTATAAAATGTTCTTTTTAGGATGACTAGTTTTTTATAAATGTAGTTGTAAAGTTGTTAATGTAAAGTACTTTTTTTTTAAGTTGTAAAAATTAGTTTTCTAGCACAATTTTTTTTTTTGAAAGCAATGAGAAAGTAATAGTTAAATAGAAATTATGATTTTGGTTTGAAAAATAAAGTAGTAAGAAAGTGTCCCAAATAGACCCTTAGCATTGAAAGTGGTTGATTGACTGATTAAATTATTTAATCAACTTGAACTTAATTTAGTGTATTTGAAGTTTTGTTTGGGATAGCTTTTTGTTGCTTTCAAGATATTTTTGTATTAGAAAGTTGCTTTAGATAATAATAAAAAAAACTGTCCCAAACGAAGGATGGGTTTCATATGGATCAATTAAAATGAATTTCTTCATAGCTCCTTGATGCTCCATTTCCTATCAATTTTTCCTTGAATGAAAGTTAGATTACTGGTTAATGGCAACTTCTAATTCTTAAGAAAGACAAGATAGTTAGGGATTAAATGCCCATAATCCTAACAGTCCAAGTTACTTTTAAGGTATTTGTTTAAGATGATTAGTCATTTATTGTATGCCTAATCTCATTTAGATTTATTCTTCTAACCTTGCAATTTTTTTTTTGTTCATATGATAATATATCCCCATGCAATATATTGTTAAGTCTTTATTACAAGGGTTTTTAGGCAATTTCCCCCCTAAAAAATGTTAAAATACTATGGTCTTTAGGCAATTGCCCCCAATATAATTAAATACATTGTGTAGATCTGTTATTGTTAGGAAATAATGAACTAAATACAAAGATAAATAACAAATCAAAATTTGTTTCGAGGGCGTTACCCCCAGAAACCCCGCAGGGGCGTTGCCCTTTGACCACGCGACCTAACCAGTCAGGTCGAGTCTCACCAGGGGGCGCTGTCCCCTTGGACCCCTGTCATATATGCCAACAACTACTTATAAATTTATTCTCCCCTGCCATCACCATAAGGTCATGTCATCGCGTCCTCCAAGAGAAAAATTGAATGGCCATTCGCTACAACCTCTTATATTATCATGTCTACCTCCTTAAGGTTACATTGCCTTCACCACTCGAGGAGAATCAATTGGACCATTCGCATTAACCTTCCTTATCTTGATGCACTACATATCCATCATCTTTGATAAGACAACTGGTAAGCAAGCCAACATTTCATATGTAAAGCTTGCTCCAGCACCTCTCCACCACACAACTCCTCTGTCCTGACAACAACCACTACAACTTATTCCATCTATTGCTTCATACAATTATACATACATTGTAATAATAATGCAACAGTCATCTCTTTAGTTGAAATCAATAAAGTTTTTTATTCCCCAGCATTCTATCTTCCTCTCCATGTTAGCTTTGTCTTTATGGTATCAGAGCCACATCAAGCTTAATTGCTTGGCTCCCAAAGGATGGCAGACACTCAAGACTCATCTTCTACAAACACCCAGCAACCCAGCTCATTCCTCCCAAGTCCCAACAGACAACCCTATTCCTCCTTCCCTTAAGTTTCTCATCTCTAACCTCAAGATCATCATTCATACATAACTACAAAGTGATAAATATCCTATTGGAGACTTCAAGCTATCAAGATATTCATAGCAAATGGCTATGTGGGCTTCCTAATTGTTCAAACTACTACTCGCCCAAGCACACCACTTTAACCACATGCGATACCATTCCAAACCCTAACTTCATCATCTGGAACTTTCTTGACCAAAACCTCTTAGCAGTCCTATTTTAAACCATCTCACAAACCATATTGTCATACATTCTAAACCTCACCTCCTACCATGAAGTATGGATAATTCTAGAAAAATGTTTACAACCCACTAACCGATCAGGACTTATGTAGCTCAAGAATGAGCTACACAATGTCTCAATGCAAAATTTGACTATGTCCCAACACCTCTTTGACTTAAAGTCTCTTATTAACAACATCAAAGCAGCTGGATCTCATATTGATCTATAATATATTATCTTATACATCCTAAATGGTCTGCCACACTCCTACTAATAATTCAAAACAATAATTCGCACCAAACTAACCCCTATTAGACTAAGCGATCTTTCTCCATTCTATGCAGTGAAGAGATCAACATTTTGAATGAATATTTGATAACTCCACCAACATATCTCCTTCTTTTTTACTAGTCATGCCCTCTCAATAAACTATAAATAGACCACCATTTTTCAATGAAAGTGGACAAAAACAAAGAAGAAAAGGAAGAAAAAGTATCATAAGGAAGAGAGAGAAACTAGTGTTCTCTTACCATCAGAATCCTCGACTCTATCGCCAGATTCCCCCCCGGCTACTGATTGACGTCGGACTTCCGCCCAGCTATCTAATGACGCTAGACTTCCACCCACCCCCAACTATTATTGACTTCCCCCTGACAACTGTTGCAAGACAATAGTTTTTTCGACCTCCATCACCCACTAACTTTGATCATTCTAACCTTTGTCATCAGCCAATGGTCTTTCTAACCATTGTCACCCATCGACTATGGTCCTTCCGACTTTCGTGGCCAGACAATAATATTTCTGACCACTATTACCCGTTGACTATGGCCCTTCCGACTTCAGTAGCCAGACAACGATCTTTCTGACTACTATTGCCTGTCGACTACAGCTCTTTCAACCTTCATCACTAGGCAACTATTTTTCTGATGATTGCAGCCCACCGACTACTACGCTTTCGACCTCTATCGCCAGACTACGATTCATCTGACCATCGTCGCCAAGCAAAGGTCTTTTTGACCATTGTCTCCCGCCGACTACGACCCTTTTGACATCCGTTTCCAGATTACAATCCTTCTAACCTCCGTCACAAAACACCGATCTTTCTGACCACTGTCGCCCGTCGACTACGGTCATTTTTACCTTCGTCACCAGATAATGATCTTTCTGACCACTATTGCTCACTGACTACGATCCTTCTGATCTCTATCGCCAAATTAAAGCCCTTCTGACCTCCATCATTAAACAACAGTCTTTCTGACCATTATCACTCGCTGATCACGGTCCTTCTGACCTCCGTCGCCAGATAATGATCTTTTTAAACTATCGTCCGCGTGTACAGTCCTTCCGATCTCCATCGCCAGATTACGATCCTTCTAACCTCTGTTTCCAGACAACTGTCTTTTTGACCATTGCTGCCCGTCGACTACAATCCTTCCGACCTCCATCACTAGACTACGGTCCTTCTGATCTTCGTCGTCAGACGGTGGTCTTTCTAACAATTGCAGCCTGCCGACTACAGTCCTTCCGACCTCCACAGCCAGACTATGATCCTTTCGGCCACCGACATTCGACTACGGTCTTTCCGACATTCGTCGCTCGCCGATTATGGTCCTGCCGACTAAACAAACATGACAATGCCGATTCTTTTAATTCCCACCATGTAAAGCACTCTATGTGATGTATATTTGCTACATCAAGCCAACCTTCCCCCAATGAATGACCTCATTTATAATCGACTGCAAACACTAGTTGATTCATTCAAACATGGCTGGGCCCCGTGATTTTTTTCCTTCTTAAGGGGTTTCAACATAAAAACTATGATGTCTCTTATGAACGCTCCACTTTCTATATTATATAATTGTGTGATGGATCTTCGTCCGGAGCTAAGACGTTAAAACTTCATATTTATCTATTGTCGTGAATATTTTAGGACTCAACAATTATATTTCAGTAAAGTTAAGATATGCAGATTACTGTCATAATGATTAATGATTCCATCCTCTTTTTTTATTTTTCTTTTTACTCTTTTCACACTTGTAATTTGTTTTTTTTTTTAAATTAAAGTTCTCAGCATATACATCGGAGATGAATATCATTACCTTCTGCTTAAATTACAGCCACAGAATTCAATAGATGGTGACAGAACCACCGTTCAACCTGCTCACATACTGCTAAATCAATTAAATGTGTGTGTTGTCAGAAATCGACGCAATTATAATTATTTCACTAACAAAAGTACAAAAAAATTGTCACATTTTCATCTAAAAAATCATCGCGCTTAATATTTATATTCTTAACAAATTAATGAAACAAGCAATATTATAGAATGTTTATTTAGAATTGTTAATTTTCTTTTTTGATTTTTTTTTGTATTTCTTATTTTTATAAGATTGATGAAAAAATTAGTATAAATAATCTAAATAAAATATCACATTCACTTAAGGTTATCAGCATAATTAAGACTTCATTTGGGACGACTTTATTATTGTTTTTTAAAGCAGTTTTTTATTATTAGAAAGCCGACCCAAATAAAATCTTAGACAAACTTCTTAATGATTAGATGCTAAGTTCATTCATTTAAATAATTAACTACTAAACTTGACTTAACTTTTGATAACATGACCCAATAAGTTAATATGAGAATGTGACATTTTTTTACATTCACATGGGACTAAAATTTTAGCTCATATTACAGTTAATATTCTTGTTACAATTTCTACACAACTAAAATAGATTTATATCTAAAAATACAAAATGCAATAATTAAAAAATATTATAATCTTTTTAATTGAATATTCTAAAAATCAACAATGTTAATATTATGAGGTTAATAATCCAACCTTAGTATTTTGTTTCATCTTTTATAAAAATTATCATTTTTGTGATGCATCATTAACAATATTAAAAGTTAATTAGCAACAAGTAGACTTTTGTTTAAACCTATATATATATATATATAGCAAAAGATACACCACAAGACCACAGCGGGGCCACATAAGGGGGATTACAATCAAGGAAGTACAAAAAACAACAGGTTAAAAGTAATCTAAGGGAAACATAGACCCAATAAGAATCAATATCAATATCAATAGGATTCAGACTGGCACCTACTTACTAGGGAGGATCAAATAAACTTCCAGGAAACCAAGCCAACAAGCATCCAAACACACCAAACCACCATGGTTGCCCAAACCCTGGCCATCTAAGGTGCATGTAGTAAGACTGCTTCATCATAGTCATGTTCCAAAACAACCAAAGCAGCAGAAACTGAAATAAAACAAAAAACCACAACTGCGAAACTAGCCACGGTGAAAATAATTTCTTCTTAGATTTCCTTTTACGATGTCTAACATAATTATCAACCGAGCCATTTTCCAAATTGCTTTCAAAAGTATCCTTCCCTCCAGCAGACGACAAGTCATCATATAACCAATCACATTGCCACCGAACACTATCTCTAGCAAGATGAGCTAGCATATTAGCATTCGAAATAACATAAATAAGAACATCCACCATAGACTCCACAACTTCTGTCTCCCCTAAATAAACCAAAGAATCATCACCACCATCAACTAAAGAAATAGAATTAGTATAAGACAACTCCACACCATCAACATGAATAGGACTCTCTCTAAAATTAACACAACAATCTAAAATTAACACAACAAGTACTATTATACAAGGCTGCATAGTCAGGGGCCACAATCGAAGAACCCTCACCCTCATCGGCACTAGAAACACCATTAACAATAGAAGAGCCACCAGAGCAAGCCCTAGTAATAGAAACAGAGTCTGTAGGAGAATGAGTTGGGCTAGATGGATTGGAAACAAAAATCGTGTCGACCAAACTAGAGATAGGATTTAAGCCAACTCCATCAACACCAATAACGTCACCACCAATAGAATTAACGGGCAAAGAAATAGAAGACAATCACACGACTGTCATGGTTGTTAACAGGATTCACAGGCGATAAATCAACAAGAGACGGAACAACCACGTTGGGAATAGGATTGATAAGAACACTATCACCTAAATCCCCACCACCCACTGAAATCTCAATATCATCAGTAGATCATAAAACATGTTTAAATAAAAAAGGAACAACAACCATGCCAGCATCAGGAGAAGGTCGACAATCACTAAATGAATGGCCAAGATGATTACATTTGACACAAAAGAGAGGAAAATCCTCCATAGTAACTTGTTGAAAATACCCTAGTTTCTCTGGACCTATCCAAATTTTGTCCAAAAAATTCTGAGTAATATCAATTTTCACCAGCAAATGGGCTACAGACGGGCGAGACCCCAACGTTGTGGCGTTATCCACCTTCAGAGGATTACCAAAGAGAAGCCCAAAACCATGCAAGATATGAGGTGAGAAAAAATGAGGATGCAAATTAGGAAATTAAATCTAGATCGAGACAATGGGAGACTCATCCCCAATGTCATCGGAAGGAGATCATTTATACACCTTCATGAAGCAATTGAAAATCAGATAAGACCTATGACAAAATACCCTACTATAGTCAAGATCATTATCCAGCTTAATGAGCACATGAGATTGATCCAACAAGGTAACATAGAAAACACCATTAAAACGAAGGTTGAAGAAAAATTTTCGTATCGAAGCGAGAGGAGGCTACCGCGAGGGAAAGAAACCAACAAGCGAAAATTTAAAGGGTTCGTCAAGAGCAAAAAACTCCTCTTTCGAAACCAACAGAGTAGGAACGCCACGAAAGGAAGATCGTTTAAGGTCGGGAAATCTACCAGGAGAAGACCCCGCTAAAGCTTCCAAAAATGAAAAGGAATTAGCCGATCTATTCGGGAAACCAGGATCTACCTGCCGGCAAACCGCCATGCCGACAAAAGAAAACCACAAGAAAAAATGAAAGGGGAGGAAAACTTCCCTCGACGCACGAAGGAAGAAGCAGCAGGCACTGCCGGCAGAAAGCAGCTAGGGTGAAGCCCTAGCATTCCACAGAGACAACTCCAGGATTCCTTTTTAGCAGTCCGTGAGCAATAAGTAGACTTTTCAAGGTAGGTTTGTGGATAATTAGGGTTTATGTTAATTGTCAGGTCTGCGAAAAAATCTGCCTGCCATTGATGAAGCTCCTGCCAACTAATTGCCGCTCAGAATTAGTGATGCATTTTCAAATTAATGAACAGAAATTTTTTCACAAACTTTTCATGGTAGAGATTTCTATAATTTCATAGCCGTTAATAAGATTTTATTTGAAATAATTTTCTTATTGTTTTCTAAAAGAGATTTCTAATAATAAATTTTTTTTGAATTAAAAAGTTTTGCACTAAAAAATGATTTTAGAAAACAAAGCTTAAATCATGATTAATTCGTTCGAAATTTCGATAATCTTTCAGAAATATTCGTTGATAATTGACCTTTTCTTTTAATGAGAATTTGCATCCTTTAAATTAATAATAAAAAATATCTCTTTCGCACAAAGAATATTTGACTTAATCGTTTTCTTTAACTAGCTTTAATCCACGTGCATTTCATGAAGCCATTTTTTAATATAAAAAATCAGTATCTCCAAACGACACCAAAATTAAAAAAAAAAAAAAAACAGAATTTTTTTTTTAAATTCTTGTTTTTGTAAGTACAATTTTTGTAGTCTCTTCAAAATCATTCTATACAAAATCTTAGAAATAAGAAATCTTGATATTAATTTTGTTGATTTTTAGATATGTAAAATCTAAACTTATTTATTTATCTATATATCATTTTAATATTTAAATACATCAAAATATATGCATAAGAATTTTATTTTATTTAAATAAAATAAATATTAATAATAATTTCATATGATTTTAAATTTTAAATATCATATAAATAAATATGAAAATTTAGACTTATAAATATAAAGTAACAAAATTTTTTTCATAGGCATGAAAATCGCCCTATTAATTTATAGGGAACTTTGCTATGAATTTAACGAAGGTTACGGTGAAAAATTAATTTTAAAGTAACATTTTATTTAACTATTATTTTTTTACTGTATTTTACTATTTAAAAAAATTATGATAGAAAGTTATTTTTTATAACTAAAATAATTAAATTATTTTTCTCACAATAATTTTATATTTTTCTCCCAATTATATATATATATATTATATATATATGCACGTGGTATTCAATATTAAATATGTCACCATCTCATAGAATTAGAGATCTAGTTGGGTCTATAAGTTGGGCCCACTCCTCAAACATAACTCCAAGCATCAACCGCAAAAAAATACCCAGCCGGCTCCAATACACGCAACCCAATTAACATTTTGCCAAGTCAGCAAAGACCGGGCCCACTCTCGTGCCCGTGGGCCCGCAAAGCATTACAAAAGTAAATTATAAAAAAAAAAACCATTTGAAAATACATGAAATCTGATCAATGATTATATACGCACAGAAATTTGGTGAGAGATCGACGAAATTGTAATGATTTCACAACCCTTTATACATAATAGACAAACATAGCTAAAGAACAAAATACTATCACATTTCCATACAGGAAATTGTTGCAAAATAACTCGGTCTGACTCAGGAAATAACTCGGCAAAACATTCTCCAGCAAAAAAAAATCTATAAAAATCAAATAAAATAAAGAAGATATAATATTACTTATTATCGTGTTAATTATTAAGGTGAAATTTTGTAGATAATTAGGAAGCACGGGAGTACGGCCCTCGGGTCGAAGACGAGTAACTCACCTTTGGCGAGGCAGACCGAGTCGGCCTCCGAGTTCGAATGAGACCCGTCGATAACCCGGCCCGCGATGACACGGCAAACGAGCATGGCGCGTCGGCCCGGTCCACCGCCGGTGGTGTCATGGGCCCCGCCGCTTCCGGCGAAGGTGCGAACCCCCGTCAACTTACCTACGGTGCAGAAAGAAACCCCAGCGTTGTAGATCGCGCCGGCGGCGGCGGTAGCAGCGACGGCGGAGTGAAATCGCATCATTTCGTTGCCGTCTGCGGCGCATCGGGAATCGTCGGATCGGGATCGTACGGAGGAGCGGTGGTCTTCGAAACGCGCGACGGAGCGCGGCGGGTGATGGACGCGGAAGAGCATTTCAATCTCGCCGGGAAACGGTGCGCCTCGCGGGGACCAGCTCGATCCGAAGATTATTTCGACGACGCGGCGGGAGGAGTGTCCCGGAGGTAAATCGACGAGGGTTGGCAGCGAGACTGGAGATGGAGGCGGTGATGCGATGGTTGATGTCTTGGGCTTGGATTTGGGCTTCGATTTAGGATTTGGTTTAGGGTTTTGGTGTTGGATTTGGGGGAGAGTAGAATAGGGGTTTTGGGATCTTTTAGGGGGAAGGGGAAATTTATTGGGGAGGAGGAAGACGACGTCGCGAAGTGTTTGGGATGAGCTGCTGCAGGAGAAGGCGAGCGGGCCAGATTTCTTTGATGATGTGGTGGGGTTTGGGAGGTAAACGTCTTCCAAGGCGTTGGATTTGCAGTGTAGAGATTTGGTCCAACCGGACGCCATTGACGTCGGCGATTCGCCGCCGCAGCGGAGAGAGAGTGCTGAAGAGGGAGTGACTGAGTGAGTGAATGAAGAAAGGGAGAGAGGGTAGACGTAGGCTTTAATGTGTTTTGGGTCCTTTTTGTTGAGGCTTTTGTGGCGGGTTATGTAGCGGTTTTTATTTGTGCCAATGGATTGATTGATGAGAAGGGGTGTCCAAATTTTGACACGACTCATAATAGGAAGAAATTATTTTGTGCGGAATCCGAATGCATTCAGATTGAATTCGGATTTCAATCACCATGTTCCGTCATTAGATGCACTGGGCCCCGGAGTGCATCCGATGACGTGGCATGCGGTGATTAGAATCCGAATGCATTTGGATTATGCACACAATAATTTCTCCAAAATAGGACTAGGACCACACCCGGACACCATAATTTTTTTTGTATTTAGTTTTTTATTTAAGCAGTTTGCCCATCCTTAAAAGTAAGATTGGTTTTGCTCCTGATTAGGGGTCTTAAATATTGACATGACCCGATAATCTGATTCGAACCCGTCTAAAAAATTTGTGTTCATATTCCAATTCATGACCCGTTTGAAAAATCAGGTATGATACGGGTCAACCTACTAACCTGAATTCCCACAACTCGCATAGCTTGCACACCTTGTTCTGCTAGTTTGCCTCTTGTCTGCGCATCCGCATACGCACCCGACCTGCACAACATGCGCTCTCATACACTCCCAACACCTGCTCAAGATCGCACCCCGCACGGCCACACCTCATGCCTCTCCCTCGCCCACATGCTTCACGCACCTCGCCCTCTCCAACACACATCACTAAGTTGTGCCGGTTCAACCCGATAACCTTCGAGGTTAGGTCCGATTTCAGATTTCTAATCTGTTTCTATAATCAGTTCGGGTTTGGGTTGGAGCAGTTGAGGGTAGATCAGTTCCGGGTTTAATCCGAACTTGCCCTAAAACGTAAATTTTCTGTGAGGTGGAGTTAGCATGCAGCTTGAAATTAGTAGCCAATTCTGAAACCATTAAGCAACCAGAGAAGGACGCATTGAATAATTGGATGATGAAATACTTATGAAGAACGAGCATCAAATATAATTCATAATCTGCTTTCCTTGAAGATTAAGCAAGGAAAGCAGATCATTTCTTTTTATTTTATTTTATTTTAAACATTGATAATTGCATGATTTTTTAATTATTTTTATTCTTTGATATTAAAAAAAATTCCAATATTATTTTTAAAATTGAACGGCTAGATTTGCATTGAAAACATTTTTGAGTCTCGGTGAATAAATGTGCTTTAATGATGAATAAATGTACTTTAATTAATTAATTTATTTTTCTTTGATGAATTACTGCTTCTGGGATTGTGCAAAAGACTGGACATTGGTAATTATGAGGTTATTAAAGTCGGATTAAAAAAATAATTAGAGTGGCTTTTGGAATGATGTTGCCTACCTGCCTTAGTTAATGGCCTCATAGGGGGGAGGCTTAATGATATTTTTATGAAATTAATGAACATTATGAGCCTAATTAGTGTAATGTCAGCTTCATGATTTGTGATTAAGGTTTGAACTTTGAAGAACTAATGGATGCCATTATTTTTTATTCATGATTGAAATTATTCTGTACAGATAAGAATGTCGTTCGGAGACGAATCAGAATACGTCACATCACTTCTTTGCTGTATATCGCAGCTACGTATCAGATTATGTGGTGCGCTTTGATTCACCTCGAAATAATAAGATAGAATAATTTTTTTCATGAGAGAAGCTATATTTTTGAAGAGAAATAAAATCCATGACAGTGATAATACTGAACATAAATGCCTTTTACATATTCAGAAGCCAACACGCTTTGACATTGAATGGCATATCTGTGAATTTAAGGCCATAATAATGTTGACTGGCCATTGCCATGAAAGAACGTGGTGGTTTTGTTTTTTTAAATGATGAGCATTTAATTATAATATATGTAATTTCATTTAATTTAATTGTTGAAGTGAATTTTTTTAATTCTATAAAATAGTAATAACATATATTTATCATTTTTTCTAATTTATATATAAATTGATTGTAATTTTTTATAAAATTGATTTTAAAGTTATGGTATGAAAAATGATATATTTTAAAAAAAAAAAAAAAAAAAAAAGCCGTCCTCTAACGAAACCTTAAAAGCTGGTAAAGCCAGCCAAATAACATTTCTGTATCCTTAAGATTTTGCATTATAGAGCTGGTAGAAAGGGAGGCATGTTGGAATTAAAAATTCAAATAACGTGTGGAATAAATTTTGATGTGATGAATTTACTTTAAAGTCATTCTTTTATTTATAATATCATATTCTCCAATATTCTCATCTAAAAGAGTCTCAACTTTCCTAAGACAAAAGACTGCCCATAGCCTCGCTTTGAATAAAATTTTCATAGTTTCATTTTCTAAATCATTATCACTTATTATATATACTATTCATTAATTTTTATTTAGAGTATAGAGAAAGGTTGATAACGATATTAGAAGAAGATAAAGGATTTTGATTTGGCTCGAATTTCTTCGACATCGGCTTGACTTAAAGCAATATGTAAATCAATTAGTTTGAATAAAATAAGTGAGCTAAGCTCGCCCAAACTTCACTCGATATCAACCCTATTATTAGTTGCATTCTCGCTTACTATTTCAATATTTTGATTCTCCAATCTTACTATACTCTTCATTGATTGAACAAAGAGATTATTACGTGTGGAGTTCATATCCAAAGAATCATTCAGTTGTGTGATTGTAAACAATAAAAACACAGTTACAGTTCACCATTGCGTTTTTACTGTTCACAATCGCAAAATCAAACAGGTCTCTAAGTCTGAATTCCGCAAGTAATAATCTCTCGATTGAACACAACCATGCAAACTTTAGACAATTTTGAAGTGCTATCAAACTTTAATTAATTTTCATATATATTTATAGAGCTCGCCTACCCACTGCCTATTCTCTTACTGTCACATCCATATTTGTTATGAATCTCAGCATCCATTCTTGTGCTTATTTGGATCTTTTCTCCCTTGCTTTAAAGAGCAGGCAACTAGCTAACTGGTATAAGACAAATGAAGATGCTTAGTATTAGTCTATTAATGAGAATCAAAATCAAACACTATGGCTTATTTTGAAAGCAAAAGCTATATATGTAGGAGGATTTGGTCCAATATTATTTTTTTCTTAATCAAAATTTTAAAGATTCAGACTTTGGTGCAGATTGTGACAGAGCTTCTTCCTCCTCCAACCATATATATACTGTTTGGTTGATATTTAAAAGATGGAATTATGTATGTGTTCTTGTTGGTAAGAAATACCTTTCCAAGTAGGTTTTTTGTCTATCTTGTAAGAATATAGGAGACACTTTTGTCTTCCATACATAATCGCTTTTTAAAACGTAGTAGCTACAGCACAATACAGAGAGAATGAATTTAATAAAATCCTCATGGTTTGCTACCTTTCTCTGCACTCTTTTTTCTACAAACTGCAGAATACTTATATTCTATATGGTGTCGAATTCCTTTGCCTATCGTTCGACATTTCTTATTGTTTTTTTAGTACAAATCAAGATTTTGTTTGGGATGACTTTCTTATTGTATCTTAAAGCAGATTTTTTAGTACAAAAATTATTTTTTAAACTAAAAAGTTGCTTTAAGAAGCAGTAAAAAAACCGTCTCAAAGATCCCGCATGCCTATTTCTGTCTCCTATACAAGTACCTCTATCTGCAGCTAACAGTACTCATCCCATGCTCACTCTCCATCCTAAAAAATTCTTTGGGCAGCGAAGGAAAATATTGTATTGAATATAAATCAGATGACTCTATAGCATGGCACAAAGCTCATGTCATTTGCCCAAATACCCAATCAAATTAAACTCTCGATATATATACTACATTGAGACTTTCTCTCATGTAGTAGAAAAGTTATTACGTCCGGATAAAAACTGAAAATTCGGATGTATATCGAAAAATACCGAGTGCTCGGTACCGAGGTCCAGGTGACGTGGCGGGTTGTTATTGGTCTATGGACGTGTTCCGTGTCCGGACACAATAATTACTCCATATAGCAAGGCCCTATAATCAAAATTTTGAATGTGTTGGTATGAGCGATTACAAACTAATTTACAACCCAAGCACCATCAAATTTATATACTTAAAAAAAAGTACAATTTCTTTTAAACTTGGTATTTAAAAAAAAATTATTTTGATCGGGCACGAATCTTGAGGTAGAATCGAGTTAGAAACTTCCGAAATTAAACTTGGGACCATCCGAACTTTGATTTCAGCAAACTTATAGTCGAACTGAACGTTTTGAAAATATGAACCCAATGACACAAAATTCAACTCAATCCAGCCCAAATGGGTCCAAATCAAAGACCTGAAGCACATTTGGAAAGTTCAAACCTTAAATTGGATGACCAAACAATTTCCAAAAGTGACATGCTTATAGCCGAATCAAGCGGCTCGACAAGACAAATCCAACGAGTCTAAAATTACCAAATTCTGATATCATTAAGACATTCAAATGACCAGTAAAAAAATCCACGATCAAAGGAATCAATATCGGCCGTCCATTCAAACCACTCCCAACTTACCCTTGATCTCTCTCATATTTATTGAACATGTCACTCTTAGAAAACTATAAATAGATCATCTTTCTTCATTGAGGGTGAGGAAGTAGGGGAAGTAAGAAAGAGAAAGAAGAGAGAGAGAGAGAGAGAGAGAGAGAGAGAGAGAGAGAGAGAGCTCTTGCCATGAGACTCCTCCTCAACCACCGATTGTCAGGCGATCGTCGCCTGACAATCGCCAGACTTCAGCACGACCTCCAACCGATGGACATTGGACTTTTACCCGGCCACCCACTGACACCAGACTTCTGCCCAACCACGAACTATCACCGGACTTTCCTTGGACTTACTCCTATCCACCAATTATCATTGGACTTCCCCACGACAATTGTCGCCAAACTATGGTCTTTTTTACCACTATCAACCACTGACTATGGTCATTCTGAACTTTGTGAGATTACAGTCTTTCTTATCGTTGTCGCCCGCCGTTTACGATCCTTCCGACATTCGTCACTAGACAATGGTT